TCATCGCATGTCAGTCTCTGAAATTTCGAGCTCATTTTGTAAAGCTCACTAATTTTCAAATGAATTTTTTTATAGAATACACACTGTATATATGATGCTAACCAATTCAAAAATATATTTGTAAAGTTTTACCTCTTGTACTAATGCATATCCATGTGCAACTTGAAATGAAAAACTGAGTTGTAAGAGTAGCAACATTCAGCATACGAAATTTTTTAATGTGTAAGAATTAAGGCCTAACTATAATGTGCATAAGTTAGCTTAAGCCAGCGTAAGCAACTGTCCGAATACAGACAAATTGTATGTTGCAACTATAATGTACTTTACATCAAGTTTCGTTCAGTTTTTTCAAATGTCATTTGCTTAAGGAAAATGCTAAAGTGGTCGCATTTTCCGTACGGAATCAGCTGTTTTCGCTTTTTTTCAACTGATACATCATTTTGAATTTGAAAATGAAAAGGACGAAGAGTGTTTTGCCAACAATTAAAATCATTTTAAATTTGAATATGGAGGACGACGAATGCTTTATCCAGAATTTAATAGATACTATTGAAAAAAAGAAATGTTTGTACAAACGAGATGCTTTTTATTTCAATCGTACAAACAAAGAAAAGGCATGGAAAGCAATTGCAGAAATATGCGGTAAAAGTGGTATGTATTAACACTGTTATAGGAATATATATTTTTGTATTCTATATTTTGTATGCTTGTTTCAATTAAAAGATCAAGAATTCAAACATAGATGGAAGCTACTCCGGGAGCGCTTCTGCAAGGGGATAAAAAGGTTAGAAGCGCCATCAGGTAGCGGAATGAGCTACTTAGATGAATGGCGTTTTTTAAAACCTATGATGTTTTTGAAAGACTCCGTCACACCACGCCACGCCGGTAGGTATTGTGTATAAATTTTAATTTTTTGAAATATAAGTTTTTCATTGTGCAGCACACGGGATAATTCAGAAGCAAATACAGACTCAGTCTTGGAGTCATCGATGAGTGATAGTTGTAATGAAATTTCATCGGCACCTCCAAAAAATAAAAATAAAAATAAAAGTCTACTACTACTCTAGAAAGTCGCTACCAAAAATTCGGCGCAACAATGGAAAATTTAGAAAAGCAAATGGCGGGGCCGGCTGAAAGATGTGAAACTGACGAGGCTTTTATGACGACGGTTTTGTGTCTGATGAAAGACCTGCCAGTATCAGTTTCCAAGAGAAAATGATATTAGAGTTGTATCAGACATGAAATTGAACGACAAGAATTCAACATAATTTCCTTATTTTATTTTCTTTTTTTTTTTTAAAGGTTTGAAGCATTGATTTTTTTA